TTGGACGCGCACTACAGTACCTATAGCCAGGAAAACTTTGTAGCAACTTGCCCTTGTACTTTTCGGTACTTAACGCAGTGCCTGTCCATCAATATTTGACACAAAAATTGTAGCAGCAGAGGCAGACAGAGCTAGGAAGTTAACCCTACCTCTTGGCCAGTTAGAATTTGCTGTACACATCTGAGCTAGTCAAAACGCAGCTGCTGCACATTTTCCTTTGAGCTGTTTAATGATGGTAATGCCATATCTACGTAATAAAAAGTACTAAGGTGCAGAACCAGTGCCGAAGCGATATTTTTAGCAAGTACAAAATAGCTTGTGTTGGTGCAAACGATGATTGGCTAGCTAAAAATGGCAAGAATTGAACTTGCAGCAATGGAATTTCACGTTTTCATGAATGCCATTGACTGCTGAGCCCACTAGGCAGAATGTGCACCATTTTCTTACTGATGCCTGCATGTTTATGTCTTTGCAAGTACTTGTGCGAAATATCACCTTTATGATGAAAATGCATGCATTTCAGTTGTCGAAACACAGTGACGGACCTTGCCACAGTAAACACAATGCGCCCTAACAGGCGATTTTAGAGAAAATGGCTTTTTAGCTAGTGTCCCTTTGGCAGGTCAAAGCCTGTGATGCCTGAGTCACAGAGAGACGAACTTACAAACCATGTACCATATCTCCCATACCATATGCCTGGTGTGCTACTCTTATAGGGAATGTGGCATTAGAAGGGGTAAAGGTTATAAAAGCAAGCATTCTTTCACTGTGCCCCTGTTGTTTTTAGTAAATTTCTACTTTTATACTGCAACATTCCCTTTAATTAAACTCCACCTGGACTGTATAACGGTGTTAGTTACTCAGTAGCATGACTGTTTTTGTATTATAAGTTCTGAGTATTGTAATGGTAAATGTTTAATACTTCACCTAGGCAACAATATAGAGATTGTGTGATGGGGTTGGGGGTGTCAGCGTGCTCAAATCTGTTCATTAACCATGCTTCATGTACCCCATTCCTATCTTGTCTCTTTTCTTTTTTATGCATCCTATATGCCTCTTTTAAAATTGGCAGGATTTTAATTTACTGGTATACTAAGTACTACCGTACTTAGTGAGAGGCCCTTGAATGGTAGTGTTAGGGTTCGCTTGGCCTAGTCTGCAGACTCCCCTCCGCACAAGTGAGCTATTTTAAGTGTGACCTATCTACCCATGGAATATAAGTGGAGGGAGAGCCTGGTACGTGGCATGTTTCATTCAGGGGTAGAAATGTGGTATAATGAAAAAGGGCACACTAATGTTGTACGTACGTAGGTGCACTAAGTTTGCAATCATGTGCAATTTTACATACATCAGTCTGGAGTCGTGGCTTGGTTGTTGTCGCTCTTGCACGACGATCGTCTTTCTATTGCCCTACCGTGTTTGACTCTAGCTCCCAAGCTTACACTTTATGCTTGGTGTTCTACTGTACATGGGACCCACTGGACTCGCATGCTGTGCTGCCCAAGCAGCAATCACGCAAAACCTTCCAAAAACACCACTTGTGTGCTAGGTCGTGCAGTTGTGTAGCACATTGCTAAACAAGGTTCGTGTCGATTTTGCTGTATTGTAACTGGCAATTTCACAGTATGCATATGCGTTAGTAATCTCTTGGAACAGGGATTGTTGTTTAGTCCGTCTACAACATTCCTAACGCCGATTTTGTTTTTCAAAATGGCGTCTCTGTCCCTCCACTAAGATATTTCACTCGCATTGTGGGGAGCCATAAGTGAGTCCTAGCCTTGGCTCCCCACAATGCGAGTGAAATCTCTTAGTGGAGGCACAGAGACGCCATTTTGAAAAACAAAATCGGCGTTAGGAATGTTGTAGACGGACTAAACAACAATCCCTGTTCCAAGAGATTACTAACGCATATGCATACTGTGAAATTGCCAGTTACAATACAGCAAAATCGACACGAACCTTGTTTAGCAATGTGCTCACAACTGCACGACCTAGCACACAAGTGGTGTTTTTGGAAGGTTTTGCGTGATTGCTGCTTGGGCAGCACAGCATGCGAGTCCAGTGGGTCCCATGTACAGTAGAACACCAAGCATAAAGTGTAAGCTTGGGAGCTAGAGTCAAACACGGTAGGGCAATAGAAAGACGATCGTCGTGCAAGAGCGACAACAACCAAGCCACGACTCCAGACTGATGTATGTACAGCTTAACACAGTTTTTCCACAGTGAAACGTGTATTATAATGCTATGTTTGCTTAATAGTTCACTCCACTCAAAAAAATGTTAGTATATCTCTTGTTTGTGATGTGCAGGCTGTCTTTGAAGGGTGCTCAAGAAATGCAGGGAGAAGGAGAGGAGGCTGACTTCCTGACTGCAGTGAGGGGTAACCCTAATGCTCCTCTGCTACGAGAGATGCTGAGGGCCAAGAAGGATTTGCTAACTAAGATGAATCGCATGTACAACTCTTTTCTTGGAGACACTCAGCAATGTAATGGCACTTAGCACTTATGCTGTGATGGTTTCTCGTATATACTCCTCCAGTGTATAGTGACGAGGTGAGGAGGACTCCTTCTGTTGCAGAGTCTTTAACTACACCACGTCGCCTTTCCCTTCCATCTCCTGTGTCCACATCAGCTCAGTCTCTGCAGCAAGACTTTCGCCGGGCCAGCATGGGAGCCTTTTTTACTACTTCTAGTACACCCAATTCCCCTCCCCGTTAGTTTTTTTCTGAGTGTATGGTCCTAATATTCAGTGCATATACCTACATAGACCAGTTTGTAGTACAATTCAGTTCGTTTGAGTTACCGTTGCTCACTAACTAGTTCACTCTGTCAATAGAGCTTTGCCCCTGTTGTGTAATTTGGGGCATTAGTGAAAACACAGCTACAGCAATTCCATGCTTATGTGTGTTTGTTAGGTATCGAAAGCCATCAAAAAGGGGATATAGAATATGTTTGTTAGCATCGCACAACACGTAGTCTCTTATGCATCAGATATTTATGTATAGCTACTCCAGTAGCCTTATTCCCAGGCTCTCCCTCCTCCGAGTGCACAATTTTCATTGGGTGACCTTTGACCCCCACGCATAAGAAACGGAGGGAGAGCCTAGTTCAAATCTTGATATCGAAGGTAGAAGATAGGGTAGAAAGTATCTAATCGACGTGGGCACAGCAATCAGTTTGCCCACACGATTCGCTTCGCGACAGTCCGCCATGGTTCAGAGATCAGACCGCGGGTAGATGGCACCTTGTAACGGAGTCTGGTGTGTGGGCACTACTGTCAGCTTCTAAGTCCTATTTTAGTCGTGGCAGTAAAAGAAGGTACATAATATGAATGCCACACTACACCCTTACTCCTTGGTCGTGACAAGATGGACCAGATACATATACCTGCTTGGGGATACCTGCTTTTCCACCACTGCTGGAGTAGTTGTGGACATTGTGAGCAAATTATTGCATTGCAGCTGGTCATGCGTGTGGTTTTATTTTTATCTAGTATTATAGAGATGGCAAATGGTTTTTTTTACTCTGAATGTGTGTGTGTGTGCGTAAAATTGATCTCGCCTTAAATGTGGGACCCACGTAAAAGTATGTATGTGCAAGCTTGTCGTCATCTAAGTTAGTATGCAAGTAAGTACGATGTGTGTCAAATTTTAATAAAGTGATGAATGTGGTGGTGAAAAAGGGTCACATGGCACATATAGGGATGAGATGTACGAGCACGATTTATGATCAGATTGTGAATATACTGATACTCCCAAGCCGATCACACAATCCCTTTATGTTGTCTGGTGGCCACTCTCATAATTATATTATTGTTGTGGTTGCACCATAGAATGGCACGTTTCCACTCTGTTAGTAATAGTACAACATTATTAACCCTCAGTGCGCATGTGTGTCTGTCTGGTCTGTGTGTGTGTCGATGCTTATTCTGGCACTACAAGCTACGAGGCAGCCCATGAGCGATATCAACGGCGTCAAAATTATGCGAGCCTGAAGTATAAAATGGCCAATGATTGCATTCGAGAGTAATGCCATGAAAACAACCGAAAAAGCCAATATGCATAATCGCACTGGCTTATGCACTTTCTCTGTGTCAGGTAAATCGGGTTAACTTTGGACACGGGGTAATACACGGACATAACTCGCTATTCAGACACAAGAGAAAGATTCGGATATATTTCACTTGATTACTACCTACCAAAGCGCTAACAAATCTTCCTTGCGTTTTTTTCGCAGCGAATTATTTCGAGGCCGGTGCAACGCCCCATGTCCGGAGTTACCCCCATTTACCATACCTTGGAGGCAGAAGAAGTCAAATCAGAGGGTGTTTATCGAATCCTGCATGCTACCTACTAGTGCAGCTAGCCCATGTCACTCTCCGCGAGAGCTAGACTATGAGAAACGCATACTCTTAGTCCAGCTTGGTGCCACGCATGCACAGTGTGCCGAGGGTTTGCACTTTACTGCTTTTCATTGTCACCTGTTTTTTTAAGCTATAGCTCCTACTGAAACACATAATTGGGAGTGTCTCATGCTTCACTAAGCAACAATGTATGTATTGTGTCATGAGCTCGGAGTTAAGTGTGCTTATAATGTGTACCATGCTATATAATATATGTATATATCCCATTCCTATCTTGTCTCTCTTCCTTTTTATAACTTTCCTATATTCCTCGTTTCAGCAAGTAAATTAATAATCCTGAGTTGATTTGAGATGGCTGAGTTGATATTGTTGCCTGGTGTGCCACTCGTAAACTCCATTTTGGACCCTTGGTTACTCAGTAGCATGACTTCACTGACATTTTTGTATTTTCAAGCTGTAAGTCCTGACTATTGTAATGTTTAATGTTTAATACTTCACCTAGGCAACAACATAGGGATGTGATGGGATCGGGGGTGTGAGCATGCTCAAATCAGTTCATTAACCATGCTTCATGTATCCCATCCCTATCTTGTCTCCCTTTCTTTTTATACCACCCCTATATGCCTCTTCCTTGAAATTCGCTTGATTTTTTACTTACTTGTCTCCACTCATTTTTATATATTGCTGTTTGCCATTAATTTCATTCGTTCCGTGTCACCTTCCTGTCGGAAACCTCCTGGTTTTTACTCATAAACGGTAGCTTGGTTTTCGAAAGGGGGAAGAGCTTTGCCCTCATTTTCCCCCACACTACTGCTTGGCCTTCCCGGGATCCTGAAACACCACCTTCTTTGGGGAGAAACGCTTGTATCGAAGATCTAATTTAGGAAGGTAAGCTGACCAGGACAAGTCCGGATTTCTAGATTACAAGTGAGGTCCCAAAGGGGAAAAGACATAAATACGGCCCAATTGCAGAAGTGGAGCTAGAAGAGGCCAGAAGAGTGTCGAATTTGGGGCAATACAACGTGTAGAGACCAAGTGTTCTCAAATTGAATGCTGGTGTCTGTCTGTGATTGTGAATTTGGTAGGTTTTAAATGTAGGTGACAGCATTCTATTTTAAGTAGGTGTAAAATATTTAACGTCACTTTTTGTGCGCTTGGAAAATTGAACTGTTCGCACTTGTTCTTTAAAAACCCGTAGCATTCATTCTAATAGATATGATAAAATTGTGCTGATATGCTCCCGCTCAACCAATTCTAGTAAAGTGCTAGGGATTTTGCAACAACGTTATTTTTCATTGCAGGCATACGCACTTGTTTGCTGAAAGATTACCTTTTGGTGCCAGGTGCTAAATGGTCTCATTTGAAGCAGGGAGATGAAGTGGTGCTGACAGGGAGACTGGAAAGTGGCTGGTTCCGCTGCCTTGCCCACACAGATGTGGGGGCCACAGAGGAGGGAATGGACATCTTTCCTGGCTATATCCACATATCTGATGACAACTGCGATAGTAGGCCATTACTTTTGTAACTACGTATGTAGCAAACGGAAATTGTCTCAGGCTCGCTTAGACATGAACTGCTTAGTTTAATCTCTTTTTTGTTAAACAATTTTGTGTGGTTCTGGCTCTCTGATTCAGGTCTACCAGATACACCATCTCCACAACTAGATAGTGCTGACACCCCCTCACCTAATCCAGGGGCCTGTGAAGGAGTGACTGACATGTTTATTTCAGATCCTGAAAATACTGTGAGCAAGCAGCCAATCTCTTGTAAATTCCACCATTTTTTGTACTTAGCTATTGGACATGTGCACAAGGCAGCTCAAGGATTTGGGAAGCAGTAAACATGCATTCAACTTAGCATCGTATATGTTCAGTGTACTGTGATACTAGCGCAAAATAAGACAAATCAACAATGCTACATAGTAAATGACGTGATTTTGGTTGAGCACGATAGTAATAATATTCATGTCCTTTCCCCAGGATAAAGATACTTGCAATTTACCATCATGTGATCAGGCCAGTGAGTCACGTGATACAGACACTAGACAGTCACATGATCAAAGTGTAGTGCTCCAGGGGGAAAGTCCACGTTCAATGCGTGTAGGGAGAAGTTATTCATACATTGCTGCAACACAGACCAACCCCGAAAGCAGTCTTTTGGGTCTACAAAATGCACGAAGATCACTGTAAGTTCAGTATTTTCTGTGCAAGAAATATTGTTTACATTCTTAACCGTCGTTGCGTATCCACAGCAAGGGTTATTAACCCTCGGCGCGCATGCGCAGCTAGGGTTACAGTACTTGGTTTGTCCGTCTGTCCGTCCGTCTGTTACCACGTTTTCTGCCACCACGCGTAACAATCAGGTAAAATAGCAACACCAACGGGTTCAGCGCTACACTGGCTTGATGTTTAAAATGCCGATTTTCGTAAAAGTGCCACGTTCAGAAGTTACGGCATGAAAACCAAGTGAACAAGCCAATACGCTAATTAGCACTAGCTTACCTTGACCTGATCCGCTTGCTCTGTGTACCTCGGAGACACAAGAAGTCACAACGAAGGGCGTGTATCAACTCCCGCATGCTATCTACTACTGTAGCTAGCCCGTGTCAGACTCTCCGCGAGCTACTAGCGGGAGATCACAAGTAAACGCAGCCCAGCCCATCAATTAGAGGTACCGCGCATGCGCAGTTTGCCGAGGGTTTGCGCGCACTTTAGTGTTTTTCATTGTATTTGTGTGTTTGTCCATCTGTCTACATGCTTTTTCGGCCACAGCACACAACAAAGTGATACAGTGCTACATACCTTTTATACCAAGACCCAACATCCCTGATAATAACTTAGTTGCTTAAACTTCAAGTCACCGTATCAAATCAGGTCTTGCATTTTATGAGTATTGAGTAACCAATATAGTTAACAATCACTGACATCTAGTCCTCATAACCCTAACCCTTGGCACTGTTGTTGTTTTATTTGACATTGTATGTAAGATTCTTGACGGCAACCTCCTCTATACAACTTGTTAACTCTTGACACACATAGTGTATAGTATTTCAGTGGGCAAAGACTGCAGAGTGTTGTGGGTTGGGATACCACACAAGGCAGTTGCTATTCTGGGTGTAGTTTTGCTTTTTGCCTTTCGGCCTCATTGATGAATTGAAACTGCTACTCACAGCGCCATGCCTAGAGCCATGACTAAGAGTCTCTTTTGGGAGAGAAAGGGATACATCCAGTGTGCATGATAGGAGAATGGTTTCAACAAGATTTGCAAATACTAAAACACATTGCCCATCTGAAGTATGTACACGTTACAGAGTACGCGAGTCTTCAGTTCTTTAGATGGCAAGAGAGTGTCGTCAATGAAATGCATGAGCTGAATTGCTCCAGCTTAGGTGTTGTTCAACTAACACACAAAGAACTGCAAGACTATACGTTTGGGGAGAGCCCCACAATCCTGCTCTACAGGCAGTGAGGTTCTGTAACCAGTGTCAACAACTTGATAACGACGAGGTAGAAAGGTGAGGCAAGTCAACTACACCCAGGACAGCTCTTTGTTTTCCGGGATAAAAGAAGAGCTGCCCTGGGTGGGATTCGAACCCTCGATACTCTGCTTTCTAGGCGAGCATTCTACCAACTGAGCTGTGCCACGTTATGAATCCTCGTCACGCATGCACAGCAAGGGTAAGACTACTTTGTTTGTGTCTTTCTACGGCTAATCCGGCAACGAGGCAGTCTACCAATGGCTTCAAAACAACGAAAGCACGAAAAAATACTTTCCCGAAACTACCAAGAAAAAACCAATGAAAAGCACTGAAGTGCAAACCCTCGGCGAACTGTGCATGCGCGATACTGCTAATTGATGGGCTGGGCTATTTGTACTCATGGTCTCCCGCTAGTACCTCGAGGAGAGTCTGACACGGGCTAGCTACAGTAGTAGATAGCATGCGGGAGTCGATACATGCCATTCGTTGTGACTTCCTGAGCCCCCAAGGTACACAGAGCGAGCAGATCAGGTCGCGGTAAGCCAAGTGAGGTTATGCATGTTGGCTTTTTCGCTTGTTTTCACGGCATATCTCTCGAACGCAGTCGTTTCAGGAAAATCGCCACAAAGTTTCTGACCTTCATTACCCGTTAACGAGGTAGTATGGTTTGTGAGACGGAAAAAACATTCGAGAAGTGGATGTTGAGTAACAGACAGACAGACAGACAACCCAACTACTGTTGTAACCCTCGCTGCACATGCGCACCGAGGGTTAATTATATGCTAAGCAATATTGGTTTATCCGACGAGTGTTTTCCTGTTCCTCAGCACCCTGGGAGGCGCAAAAAATTACAATTGTCCGGTCCTGCGTTGCTCCAAACCCTAGTCACTTGTGCTGCTATAGGATTTAGATCAAGAAACTGATATCTTTGCTAGGCATGGTCCAGCCAATCATTTAGCATTACTTTTTAAACATGTGTAGTGAATACTCACAGCTAACACTGCGCCGATGGTTTTGTTTGCATGCCGTGACAAAAAACTGGTGAAAGACGACGCACACACTCTATTGTTACCCTCGCTTTTCTTGTGATTTGCACTGAGTGTTGATTAATATTGGGACTGCTAGCCCATTGTGATAGCTTGTTAGTTCTGATGCATTTTTTGCATATACGTATAATCTCAAGGTCCTGCGTTAACCCATGATGTGCATTCATAAGAAGGGCGTAAGCACAATTTTGGTGATTCACTAGTTTACCCACTGTATGTACTTTACTAAGTTTGTTCTGTGTGTTATGTGTGTGGATTAGGGATTATGGTGTCATTCATAAGAGGAAAGAGGAAAGGCACGCTCAGGGGGGAGTGGAGAGACAAGACTCTGTTGGTGCACTTGAGGATCTCTTGTCTCAACTGGCCAAGTCAAATACTCGCAGGTATGCTATTTTACGCAGAGTGTGTTATAATGCATGCTCAGCTTCAGTGTGTTGTGTGTGCTATGTACGTATATATGTACCAAAACCTCTTCTGGAGTTTATCCCAGCCATTGACCTAACTCGAATTAGGCACAGTAAAATCGCATTCTAGTGTTTTTTTTCAAGCAAGAAAGAGTTGGAGATTCTTGTTATAGGAACCAGTTTGGCCAAAAATCTCAAAGGCAAAACGTACCTGACTAAAACCTGTTAGGAATCGAGAACATTCTTAGTAGAGCCTACTAGTACTAGTTAAAGTACCAGCGCGAGTACTCTATGGAAATTACTGAAGAGGGTCATGCCTTGGACGAAGAAAATTTGTAGGCTTTGTTTTAATACCGCATTCGTTCGGGTCCCATACATTTCTATAGGAGGTGGAGAATGCATTCCTGTTCCCATGTAAATGTAGCTGATATGCCTGAACATGGAACAGGTATAGGATTATTTTGTTCTCAACAAGTTTTCAAACTAGCACTATAGAATTTGCGCAGCTCGAATGCGTGTGTGACTTCTATTTAATGTGAATTTTTCCGCTCCTATGTATAGAAATGTACAGAATGAACATTAAACCAAAGCCTAAAAACAGTTTAACTTGTTTCTACGCATAGTAGTAATGAACTCATGAAGTTTAAAAAAATATCAAAAATGTGGTGAATTACCCCCTTATTACATTTCCGGCAGTACATATGTGATATGAAAAGTATGAATTTATATCAACCACGGAGTTTCTTACACCTCGGATTATGACTCTGTACACTCAATCCAAGGACATTTTGTGCAATGTATCTCTGAACCCACAACAAGTTGTGGGGGAGATACCCTGCACCGACATAATATGATGAAAAAGCTGCAGAAAGTCTGGATGTGCAGACAGTGGATGTCACACGAATAAAAGACATACAAAGTCGTAATTGCAGGGCATAGATCATACAATGGACGAAAACATTGCAATATCTTGTCTTGCATTGTCCTTTCTTTTGGCGTTCTGTTCACGCGAATCGTTCTCGCACTAGGTATCAGGCTATGCATCCACTGCCACAACTGCTTATAGTTCTGAGTGCAATAGGATATTTGACTTTTTAAAGCACATATAAATGTGAATAATTATTAGACCTAACCTTCGCAAAATGTAATGGTTTCACAAATAGGTTCATAAACCATGCTTCGTATATCCCAATCCTCTCTTGTCTTCCTTCCTCTTTATGCCATCCTCTATTCTAAAATTTCCTATTTAGGATATCCCTTTAAAAGTCAAACACCATAATAATAATTCACTGTTATTAGGATTTATTGAGTATCATGGAGATGAAACTTGGTATGCATGTGTATGACATCACGAAATGCGGGTGTTTCTACACAACATCCCTTGTAACTAATTAAATTAAAATAGGGATGGTATAAAAGTAGATAGGGATGGGATACATGAAGCATGGTTATTTGAGCAGACTGACACCCCCCAACCCCATCACACAATCTCTATATTGTTGCCTGGTGTGCTACTGTTATCGGGAATGTGGCATTATATAAGGGCTAAATGTAAAAGCAAGCATTGTTTCACTGTCCCCCTGTTGTTTTTGGACTTCATATACTGCCGCAGTCTTTTTAATTAAACTCCACTTGGACTCTATAGCGGTGATGGTTACTCAGTAGCGACTTGTTTTGTATTATAAGTATTAGTTAACGTATAGGCGGCGAGGTGGTACAGGAGATACTCCGAGGCTGTTGACTATACCGGACGAGGGCGTAGTCCGAGGCTGGTATAGTTAACAGCCGAGGAGGATTTCCTGTACGCGCCAAGACGCCTGACGTTAACTGATTTGTAGTCCAACTAGCCAATCACAATGCTGAATTTCTGCTGTGTCATCCCGCACTAATGTACTATTGGACTGTTGTGTTATCCAGATAGTTTGCACTACGCCTAGCGCTCGGAATTCCTGTCCAATACTGATACCCGTGCAGCCCCAGCCCACAGCTCAGAATACAGCGTATATTCCTAGCACCGGGTTGTTTGAAGTTGGACTACAAGTGCTGAGTATTTTAATGGTGAATGGTTTAATACTATACGATTACATGTTTCCATGATGACCACATATTGTTTGAAAGCCTCAGGCAATTTTCTCTCTTCACTCCTCAAACTTGCTAACTGCAGCACGCATGGAGGTGAAACCTGGTGTGCATGTGTATTACATCGTTTCCATGACAACCACAACAAATAGCCTCAGGCACTAATACTTATTCACTCCCTCAAACTTGCTAACCGTAGCATGCATGGAGGTGAAACTTGGTATGTATGCAGTATGCTCTGCTGATCAGGGCCAACAAGCCCGAAACAGCTGTCCAGAGCTCCCCATCCTTTTTCTGTTGGCATACCTTCATGTAAATGCACTGGCAGGATATGGGTGCTTGCTGGCTTCATTGCCGCTGTCCAATCCTCATGCCATATTGCGAGTTCGGGTTATGGCTCGGTGCTGGCCTTGACCAGCAGGAGTGGCGAGGGGCCTAGGCTCCAAACCACGAATGTCTGGGCATGGTCAGCAGCACATACCAGTAGCAAAGCCTTGTCTCATTAGTTCAGAACCACAAGTTCTGCGCTCCTGGTAGCCTTTGTAAACTCTATATATAGTAGGCATATATACCAAGTTTCATCTCTGTGCGTGCTACCATTGGAAAGTTTTAAGTAATTCATGGTAGTAGTACATTCTCGTGCCCGGACCCCTCAAGAGAGGAAAAGGGTCTGGTGACTATAGAGCGTTTTCTTGGTTGTGCTGACTCATCATTGTCGAGTGCATGCGCAGAAAAGCCCATTTTCGTTTGTGGACATGCGGAATCCACGGAGCTGCGTTGCGATCTATTACATAACATCATGTGATATTTCACGGTCGTGGCAAATACTGCAATCTGATTCAGTGTCTCAAAAGTAAGACTGCCGAGGCAGCACAACCAAGAAAACGCTCAATAGTCACCAGACCCTTTTCCTCTCTTGAGGGCAGGGTCTGGGCACGAGACTATCAGCATGGCAGCTGGCGTGTCTAGCGGCCGAGCTCTGCTAGCGAGCCATCACTCACGGCATGATCCGGATCTAGGCTGCTCTACTGCCCCATGGCCGTCATGACGGAGCTCCGGAGATAGCGCCTATGCCGCGGTGGGGTGGGCTGCGTGTTCCCGCTGCGGCGTTCACTGCGTCTGCAGCTACTTGGCTGCATGGTATGGTAGTGCGTAATGCGCGAGCTTTGCCGTGGAATGTACCTCTACCGTTACTTGGGTACCCTTCGCCGTACCTTTCTGTACCACAGAAGTACCTATAAAGTACCGACGAAAGTACCTCACGCGTACCCCTGGCGTACTGCATTTGTTCCTCGCCTATTGCGAGTTTGGAGTCGTGAGACGTAATCTGATGGGTAGGGCAGCGAAGGAGAGGAATTGGGAGTGAAAAATTCGCCGGGGAGGCAGAGTGTTGCACCATACAACATCTCTGCTGCGGTAGATGATATATCCTCCTTTAGTGCTGTCCGTATGCCGATGTGTGCTAGTGGCAGCGCATCCATCCATGTCGTGGGGTTGGTTTGGGCCTTCAGTGCCACCTTCAGCTGGCGTGAAACCGCTCAACCATACCATTGGCCTGGGGATGATAAGCAGTAGTCCGAGCTCGTTTCGATCCCAGCAGGGTCATCAGGGCGTCCCAGAGATGTGATTCGAATTGCCGACCGCGGTCCGTTACAATGGTGGATGGAACACCAAATCGAGCAATCCAGCCACTAAGAAAGGCTTGAGCTACAGCTTCTGCTGTGATTGTAGTGATGGGAAGCTGCTTCTGGCCACCTGGTGAACCCACGTGACGGTGGAAGTGGTCCGACCAGATGAGTGTGGACGACGTCGAACCGGGCATCAGGAACGGGGAAGGAAGGAAGTTGGGCGACAGAGTGTCTCTGCATCTACACATTGGCATTGACACTAGGCCACACAAACCGGACAGTGATGAGCTTCTGTGTTGCTTGGATTCCTGGGTGTGAGAGGCTGTGTAGAGAATTGAACACAGTGCGTCGCCATTCCCGGGGGACCAGGGGGCATTGTGTGCCAGTGGAGATGTCACAGTAGAGTGGGTCGCCAGCGTTTGGCAGGGGAATAGGCTCCACAACCAGAGGGGATGATGGGGAGGACTGGAGTGCCCGGATCTGTGGGTCGGTCGCTTGTGACTTGGACATTGCTGCATAGTCCACGACAGGTGGCGTGCCGGATATCAAAGCGTTGGTCTCAATGCGTGAGAGCGTATCAGCTACCATTTTGTTCGACCCGTGTATGTGGCGGATGGTCGGTGAAGGCGGCTACGGCTGTGGCAGTCCAGAGCAGTGTCTGGGACTTCGTTGTCGATGATGCACGTAGGGGTCGCATCAGGTCAGCACAGTGGGGGAGAAAACGATGGTAAAAATTTACCTGGCCGATGAACTGGCGCAATTGGCGTTGCGATTGGGGCTGTGGAAAGTCTAGTGCGGCTTTCACTTTCTCTGGTAGAGGAGTGATGCCGTGTTGCTCGATGTGATGACCGAGAAAATCCAATTCGACGACCCCGAAGAGGGACTTGTTGGGGTTGATGACGATGCCATGTTTGGCAAAACGTTTGAAAATTATTCATAGGTGTCTGAGGTGCTCTTCGGGAGTGGCTCTGGTTAACTCCACTCGCTGGCGGGAATGTATATTTACCCAGAGAATTACTTCCTAGCTAAGCCTAATGCTGTCGGCGAAGGAACCAGGCAGACCGGCACGTGATCAGCGTCGCATCGCGCATGTGTATACGATCGCATGCGCGTAGGACACAATATCCTAGCGCTGATCACATGACCCATATGCTGCGCGCCTTAGCTGCAGGAGCTAGGTAATAGCCAGCGCGTGCTCAGGCTATACATCGCGGCTCGGCTGTACTCTGGTTTTGGGGTCTCGAGCAGAAGTCCCCATCGAGTGGGTCCAAC